AGAGCACAGATAGCCCATTGTGTTCCTTTGTGTTTTTTTTCTTTAAGTTTACCGTATAAATTTATTAGAAAGCTTCCTAGGAAAAGTCAATTTTCAGCTGTCGTTTTCAGGCCTAACGTTGTTTTCCGAAACGCATTGTAAGCGTCAGCTGATCTTAGATGATGTTCTGACAGTTTAATTCCTATAAAAAAATAACAAGAACTCAAAAACTGACATGTCTGAGTTTTTTTTTGCTCCTAGTACAGCTGCTGAGATAAAACAAAGAGGGTGTGTATTTATAGAATGAGATAATATTACTCAAAGGCAATTAATTACTCTTCATAAATAATGTTCAAATACTTGATCATTGATTATTGCAAGAGTAATTCCACAATTGTAAAAAAAAAACATACCGCAATATAAGCACCACGTCGTTTAATATTTGCGTATCAATGTTGAAAGTTATATTCTATTCACGGCCAAACGTCACGTTTAGAACATAAACGTGATGTTTAGTTTCTAAAGTCATGCAATCCATTTGTCAAGACCATTTTTATTGTTAATACTGAAAAGAAATACATTTTTGTTTTTTCATTTAAATTTATTGGAACTCTCGGATTTTCGCGCAAAGCTATACAAGGAATATTTCCATATAGCCATCCCTCATTTTGAACTGAGAGACTAAAAAAAAGTAAGTAGTCCACAGCATCCACTCTCAACTCTTAGGCTACTCCAACTAAAAAGTGAGATTTGACCTTCTTTCTTATAACGCACCCACAGCTCCAAAGTGCGATTGTCTAAAAACGGGAAGTAAACCATGAATTCTCGAGTTCCAATCAGGCACGTTATCTATTAGACTGCACCCGGCCCTCTTATGTTTATGTTTATTCGTCTTTGATAAGTGTATTTGCTTGAATTTACATAACTGAAATTTTGCATTAAATTTAAACTATTATAAAATATCAGTTAACACGAACTAACACGTCAGGTCCTGAAATTACTACAACATTTTAATCGTAAAGGTTGAATATGTTCATATTACACCAAGGCCAAATTATTCAACTGAGTCGGAAACTCAGTTATTTCTGTTGGCAAAATCCAAATTACAGTGATTTGTAACATTTCTTAATCATATTAGGTAAAACCTAGTTCATGTGCACGCTAAACTTATCTTTTTTTATGTTCTGAAGTAATTAATATAGAATTTCAATGGGAATTGTCTCGGTAATGCGACATTTTCTTATTAAGTCCATTGTTATTGTGTGTTTCAAACGATGGACAGCATAGCAATAAAAATCTACGTGTCAAGTATCATTATAACTGCATTTGCTGTTTAAAAAAGAAAAGAGAAAGAAAAATGATCAAGGTTTATTTACTTTGTTTGTTTGCTTCAGAATTTTTGTACAAAGCTACAAAGATAGTCGTCTGCGTATAGCAGTTTCTATACAAAGCTACAAAGATAGCCATCTGAGTATAGCAGTTTCTATACAAAGCTACAAAGATAGCCATCTGAGTATAGCAGTTTCTAATTTTGAACTAATAAACTACAGAGAAAGCAGATAGTTAACAGAACCCACTACCAGCTCTTTGGCTATTCTGAGCAGACACTGGGATTTAACCGTCACTCTTGAAACGCCACGATAGACTCAGTTTGGTTACCCTTAAAACATTTTATGCTCCTATGATAAGTTTCTGAAGTGCAAAGGATAATAAAATGGTTTATAACTCGCTTATAGGCAAAATAATGGTACTTCTGTCTTAAAACTGACAAAGAGAATGATTTGAAATTACTGAATTATGAAATCATACATCCCATCATTCTTTAAAAAAAAACATTTTGAAAACAAACTCGAGTATTTGTTGATTCTTTTATTCATTCATTTTCCAGAAAGACAAACTTAAATAAACGTTATCTTATAATATAGCCTGACATTTAAAGACAGCACGTAAACAAAACCCTAGGAAAACTGAATAAAATTCAAAAGTCAGTGCATTAAAACAAACTCAAGATACTTGATATTTGGCATTTTCAACCTATATTTTATTTTATGCAACATATGAGCTAAGCAGCCACGTTAGATACCCCTGAGGTTTAAGCATAGCCATCCCTAATTTAGAAGCGTTGACTGGAGGGCGAGCATCCAGCCAGAAGCACCCGCCGCTTATGAGGCAATAAAAAAAGACAATTTACTCTTAAAAACTATTATTCCAATAATTCTTAGCGTTACAGTGAAACACTTTGCCAATAGTTTTAAAAATTGCTTTGCCTTTGTATCATATAGAACAATTAAAATCAAATACTATAGGAATAGTTTATTGGAAATGCATACATTTTAGCACTATGGATCAAATGACATTCATCACTGTCTTGGTCCTTACCACTTCAACGAGTACGTGTGAGGAAATCTTGGAATGCTCAAATCATTGAAAGTTGAAACATCTAAGAATATCTGGAATACATGGCCTTACCGTACAATGCAAGTACCTTGCCTTCACATGGGCAGAAGGGACAGAGCGAGAAAAGGAATAAGAACCCTGGTTGTCTCATATACTCCATTTGATCAGACAGAGAACTATTTGGAATGACACTCTGCTCCTACAGCTAAAATTTCAACAACAAAAAAACCAATAACCTCTTCAGGAATACCGGAAAAATCAGATTCACTAATAGCTTCCTTGGAAAACTTTAAAATATTAATCGGATGTCATCTCTTTGACGAATACCCAAAAGGGCTTTGAAAGACCCTATTGACAATGAAGTCCATGAAGGGGATGAAGTATGTATTTAGAGGCTCTATACGTGAACACTAATTACAAGATATATCCTATACAGGTGTTCATTTTGCCATAGCCACTATCAATCGTTAATAATACAACCCCAAGACCTCCCCTCTGCAGAAACTGAAGGCCATAG